TGACCCTCTCTTTAGCTACGACGTCTATATTTGTAGTTCACATATATGCCTGTTCTATTACAATATCTTGACAGTTGTTATATTTATGTTGTGTAATAAATGTCGTGCTAGGTTTGAACTTATGTTTAAACTAACTTTTTTTGTTCTCCATTGTGTTTTTTTTTTTTGTTTTTTGTATTTTCTTTCTCAGAGGCACAGTTTGTTGCTTTATGCACATGCATGAAAATGTAAACTTTGTTTTTGGTTTCTGCTGTACCAGCTCATGGTTTTTGTCTCTGACTGCTTGTCATGGTGAAAACACCTGCCCTGAATCTGTCTTCTCTTTGTGCCTCCTGACTTTCTCTCCCCGTTCCTCTTTTCTTTCTTTTTTTTTTTTTTTAATCATTCTCAGTCGGTTGTATCAGCCAAGAGTTGGTACCACAGCTTTGCTTGTAAACCACAGTAGTCTGATTATGTTTATTGATTTTAATATCAAACAATAAAATCCATTAGCACCCCATAATCTTTGTCTTTGGGATGATTCCAGTTACAAAAATATCTGCAAATGTTAGAAAATTACACTTGTTACAAATAAAAATAATTTAATGAGGAATAAAACAGTTTGTAAATGAATTATTAAACATTAGAATGTCATACATCACATAATTTCAAAAGCAACTGTTAACTGTAACAAATATTTTTTTAAATATTTTGTAATTTTTTAAAATTTTTTTTGTAATAATATTTTTAAATAGGTTGTGACATTAATCAGATACTTACAGTAACTTTAAAGCATGTTAGGAGTAATACTTCAACCACAGGAAAAAAATACTGTTGTATGTTAATGTTGCACCTATAAAAATGATATTCAATTACTTTAAAATATTTGAAATTGTCGATAAGCCAATAACTGAACTTAAATTGAAATTTTTTCGGTTTCCTGTTGTATGTTTTGTTTCGCCTTTAGCCGTGTATTTTGGCCGTGCTGTTCGCCGTAGGAAAACAAATATGGCGTCTTCTATGGACGTTCACGTCCGAATTTGTGCTCAGGAAATCATTAAATATGACCTCGAAATTAAAGCTCTCATTCAGGTATGAACTTTAAACGTCAGTTAAGTAACAAATATTATTATTTTTTCCTTCGGGTAACGATAATTGTACTAAACGTTCACCCGACGACTGAAAACAGTTTTCATTTACAGTTTTAAATACTCCGTCACGGATTGTGTTAAGATGTCCGCTTGAATGTTTATTCACGTAAATACACCAGGTGTGTTTTACATTATAAGATGGACATTTATTTCCCAACAAATTGCATAAAATGAAAACTAAAGAAAAAGTTGTTTTTATTTTCACGTATTTATGACATTGTTTGTTCAAAATCGACGTTGGCTTTAAATGTTCGTTATTTGTTTTCATTTTGTTCAACAAGAAGGATATTGACCCGTTTGCTTGGTTGAATTTAATGAATTTAATGTTAATAAGTCTGATAAATATATAGTTTTAATAAGATATTAACTGTTCACCTGCAGGACATTAGGGACTGTCCTGGACCTCAGTCTTCTCACAGGGAACTCAACGCTCAGGTCAAAGAGAGGTTTAACAAACTCAGAGTCAGAATACAGGTCAGACTCTAAACATTTTACTCTCTTAATTTTTTTTACATATTTACATATATTATATTTTTAGCAAAATGATTTGTTTGATATTTTCAGGATCTGGAGCAGATGGCCAGAGAGCAGGACAGAGAGACGGACAGACAGGACATACAGGCAGAGACGGAGAGTCAGAGGAGACAGATGATGAGGTGCTAACACTGACACACACACACACACACCGTCACACATACATAGTTTTTAACACTTGGTTTCTGTGCTGCTCTTGCCACAGTAACCAGACAGCGTGGAGAAAAGCCAACCTGGCCTGTAAACTGGCCATGGACAACGTGGAGAAGGACGAGCTGCTGTGTGGAGGAGAGAACCACACCGTCAGACACAGGTCAGCGCTGGTTCTGTTGGAATCAACAAAGTTATTGTTATTGTCACGGTTATATTTATTTCATAGATTATAGACTGTTTATTAGACAGACTGGTTATTATGGTCAACCCAAGGTTTTCAGTAAAGATTTAACTGCTCAGATTAAAATCTAACCCTTGGTTTTTTGTGTGTGTCTCTGTCCCAGGAAGGCGACTAAAGAGAGCCTGGTGGAGACCAGCAGTAACATCACGGAGAGTCTGATGTCTGTCAGCAGGTTGATGGCTGAGCAGGTGAAGCAGAGCGAGGACACCATCGGCTCACTGGGTAAACCACACACACAGTTGTTTTTTTTTCCTCTGGTGACTTGTTCGTGTTCAAACCGATCTCTGCACCTCCTCAGCCACCTCCTCCAGGACGGTGCAGGAAACCAACGAGGAGTTCAAAAGCATGACAGGAACCATTCACCTGGGGAGGAAACTCATCCTGAAGTACAACCGACGGGAGCTGACGGACAAACTGCTCATCTTTCTGGCGCTGGCTCTGTTCTTCGCCACAGTTCTCTACATCCTGAAGAAACGCCTTTTCCCCTTCATCTAACCGTCGTCCAGACAGAGGCTTCCAGGTATTTTTCTCACTATGGGTTTGTGTCTAAGAATGGACTTTATGAGGATGGACTGATGGGCTGCACGTGTTGGTTCAATAGTACCAGGAGTGAGAGGGCTGTTACAGCAAAGTACTGTTTACGGTACACCGTTTGTCAAACTGTTTCAGGACTTTGTTATTGTTTACAACGAGGTTGTCGACCTCCAATGGTTTGGACCTGATGAGTGTCCGGTTTCTCAGTGTAGTTTGTTTGTTTTCTTTGACTGTCTGAATATAGACTCCTCTCCTTCTCCTGCTGCCACAAAACCAACAGTTCTTCTGATTCTGAGTCACATTTGTCAGAACATTAATCATTTCTTAACTTCTTGAACACTTCCTTTAGCTTCAGACCCCCCCCAACCATGCCCCCTTCACTGACTTTAACAGTGTAATAACATGTCTTATAATTAGCCAGGACATAATAACATCCATGTGACTTAGGAAGGAAAACACTGCACCCAAGTGGCTCAAACTGTGAAGTACAAGTTAACTCCAGGTGTCATTGTTCAAGGTGATTTGGTTAAACCTTTTTCCCAGGACAGTGAAGGCATCATTGTATTTTCTTATTGGTCAGTTCATGTGGAGATTTTAATGCAGTCTGAGGTCACGTCTGTGATTGGACAGACCGTGGTCCAACCCAGTCACAGTTAGCAGTTGTTTTTGGGCTGTGAGTTTTGAACGTCTACTTTAAATACTTGCAGTACTGTAGTATTACTGTGTTACTGTGCCTAAGACAGTAGTTTAAATAAGACACTGCCATTTAAGGAGTCCTTTTACTGAACTGTGATTCAAACTAAGAGTCAACAATAATCTGATCAAGATGTGAATGTTTAAAAAACTTTCTTTATCACAGCTGTAGTTTTGATGATAATGAATCATATTTTGTATCAGTAGAAAATGTATACTGGACTGGAGAAATAAATCAACATAAAAAAAGGACTAATATTTGCATCTGAAGACACCTCGAAGCTAAATGTGTGTGTGTTCAGCAAAGATGGGTAAACCTGTGTGAGATGGTCTGTGGGTGTCTGTGCTGCAGTCAGTGTTTGGATGGTCAGCTTCGTGTTTTTATGTTGTCAAAAAAGGATTGACATTTTTTTTAAAAATCAAGGTTTTCTGTACGTGGTTCTGCTGCAGTTTCACATATGTGGCGCCAGATGGCAGCATTTGCGACTTGAATCACACTTTGCCGCTGTAAATCCAGACTTAATTTAACACACGTCTCTCCGTACAGTTTCGTCATTATAGCTTATTTATTTTTCATTTAAAAACTGCTTACAAATCTACATTTTTTTTCTTAAAAGCTCCATTTAAATAAAAACTTACAAAAGTATAGCTTGAAACCTGGGTGTTTGTATGAAATGTGACTGTTCAAGTCCAACATCAAAAATACACATTTATCCAAACATGTCGTCATTCAAGAGTGCAGACTACACCCTGACTGTGACTCAAACGGCCAAAGTCATGACCCAGAACTGGGTCTCAGGACAGGACGGAGAGTAGAGTGTTGATGTTTGGTACTAATGAGACTAGTTCTCTTCTTCTGCTGGTCCGGGGGTTGGTAACCTGTGGTTCCTGTGATTTCCTGAATAAATTTGACAAATGACATTCAATGTACAACTTGCTTGCTAACAGCAAACATCAAGGCAGTGTCCTTAAGGTCTGGTGTGTGATCTTAAGTTGGAGCAGCGATGATTCCTTCAGGTCAACTGTATGCGATTGTAGCATTATGTACTGAATGCTGTTGTGTTAGCGTTCACCATCGACTTTTGAGTTTTATTTTAATAGTTGAAAAAGTTTTGTGAATTTTATGTGCTGGTAAATCGGGTCGCAGTCTCTAAAAAAAGTTTTAATCTTTTTTCTCTGTCTTTGTGGAGTAGATTAGTCATCCTAAGAAAAGAGGCTAGCAGCTAATGCTACCAGTTCTGCTGCTGCGTTCTGATATTGTTTACTAGTTAGCCATCTAATCTAAATGTGTTCTGTCACATGTGACGATATTTTGACCCGTGTTTGAGAACCACCCACTGACCGTTTGAGACCGTCTCCTCTGGTCGACAGGAACGTCAGACTGAGGCTGTTCCACTGCATCAAACAAAAATGCAGATAAATAAAAAAAAAAGCTTTAAATAGGTAGAATACTGATCTTTAGCTGCACTCGAGCTAAGCACACGTTCCCTGTAGTGTTTAGGTGTTTCCTGTAACAGTCACTGTGGTTTTTATTGTTGTGTTGAAGTGAGGTAGATTACTGGTTTGAATCCTTTTTTTAGAAAGTCAAATGTAAAGAACAAAACAAAAAACAAAAAACAAAAGTCCACAGATTAAATAAGTTATCTTGCATCACTTTCACCAGCACTAAACCAACTACACTGAGTATACTAGTAAAACTACATCAACTACCACCACTACTGAATAGAATCGTAATAAGTGTATGAGCGTCTGTATCTCTGTACCCTGTCTGCACCAGCGGAGAACCCGCGTCTCCGGCCGCTCTACTAAGTCGTCCCGTTGATTTTCTCTGACGCTAGATGGCCGGGATTGGTCGTGTCGTTGTTGATCCTGTTGTTGGTCCCGCCCCTGTTGTCCGCCGCCACCTGTCCCTGAGCAGCGGTGATGGGCCACGGCACGGTGGGTGTCGGGGCGGTGCCTTGCTGCTGAGCACCCGGTTGGCTGAGAGAGCAGGGGTTGCCGAGACTTCCACACAGCGCCCCCCAGTGTTGCTCGCACTGTCCACGCAAACGCCGGCTGACCCATGACCGGACCTCGTCGTCGCACTTTAACAGGAAGTTGACCAGCTCCACGTAGGGTCTGGATGGAAACGCACCAAGAAAAAAAGAGCTTTTATATTAGTCTTCTCGGACTAATACTAACGCTAACATTTATATTTATAAACCTTAGCTTTTCAATGAAGTCTGAAAACCAGAGGAAGGTGGAAATACGTAGTGTACGATTCAAAGAAAGAAAACAAATATATAAAACATCGGCGTTATAAATGTAGCCCTAAATAATCCCAGAAATTAAAAGTTGACCAAAAGCAAAATCTAAAAATTAGCACAAAGCTAAATAACCGGCGGGTGTAGATGTTGTTTTTTTGTTTTTTTTTATTTAAATTTTAGAGATAAAGAAATGAGTTGCAGGTCGTAAAAATGAAGACTTTTTGAATGAGAAGGTTCTGAGATGGTTCTGTCAGATCTGGATCTCCTACGTGTTCTCCTACGTGTTCTCCTACGTGTTCTCCTACGTGTGGTGGCTGTAATTCTTCTCCGTCTCCTTTTCCTGAACCTGATCGCCTCTCCTCGTGGCTGCTAACGTGGAGCAGCTAAATACAATCGGCCCTTGTTCGGTGTCTTCAGGAAGTGCAGCCGCTCCGGCAGCTTGTGTGGTGCGGCTTTATTAGAGCGGCATGTTTCAGCCTGTGGCCTTCGTCAAGACCCTGATTAAGACCACAAGCTGGAACCTGTCGGTCTATTAAAGGTGTAGTTAATACCACGGGTGCTGCTGCAGCCTCCCGACTCCTTCCTCAACACTGCTCCTTTCTTCGTGCTCACTGTCAGTGGGTCAAGTTCTGCCAATAAAAACTGATCCAGTGGATGATAATGAATTCTAATTTTCTTCCTGTGAGTGGAGGTTTTTATTTATTTTTTATTTTTTTAAAGAATAGAAAAGAATAGGCCTCATTGTCACTGCATGTGCACGGTGGAATTGTGCCTGCAACTGCACAGAGCAGTGAAAACAGTTCCAGTGCGAAAGAAGACGTTGGGTTCAAAAATGCTGCGTGGACTATTAAAGCAATAACTATAAAAGTAGTAAAAAGTGTGTGGTACCAGGAAATAAAACAAAAAAACCTTGAACCCACACACAGATCTACGGCCGTATAAACCGAGACGCACGGACAAAAGGAGCCAGGACTGTTAAATGTGAGTTCTGGTGTCTGTGAATGTGATTCATTAACCTCAGGTTTTAGTGCAACATTTTGCTCAGTTTATGGCAGCTGTAAATTCGCACGACTTTAAAACAAAAGAACGCAGACCAGGTCTTTTTGCGGCTAGTTTCTACGCCGTCGCTGACGGAGAACGGACGACCGTGGAGGCTGCGCTCTCTTACCCCGGAGGGAACATCAGCTGGAACTGGACCAGGTTCCCCGTGGTGTCCATGTGGTCCCGCAGAGCCAGGCACAGCTGGTGTTTGGAGTAGCATTCTCTCTGGAGTGAATACACCATCTCTTTTATGGATGTGCATCGACGGCTCACGCAACTGAAGCGCTGTCGAAGCCCTTGGGCCATGCACCGCAGCGCATCTTTCACGAAAGACTTACCCTGAGAAGAAGAAGAATGAAAAAGACGTCAGCCAATCACACTGCTCCAGTTCTGAACAAAGACACTGAATTTTACCTAACTAAGAATGATGTATCCCAAAGAAGCACGTTTGCCTCCTTTGGCCACTGCGTGGTGCTGTTGCGCTGGAACTCATTTGCATATTGGATTGTTTTGGAAAAATATGTTTGTGAAAACAAAAACAATCCTCCAGAAGAAGTTTTTTTTCTAATGTATGGGATGTAAATTTGTAGCACCGAGTCTGACCACTATGTGATGCTGTGGCAATAGAACATTTCTAACTCTCGACGTTAGACAAGTGGCAAAAATCTACTTCAACACGATGGTATTGACACAATAACGATACAAAAGCCATACCACATTACCTTGCATAGCCACAAGGGGGGGTGAGGTTCACTATCTATGATGTCACAGATCGCAGGCGCTCAAACAGTGACAGAATTTTAGAATGCTCTGTTATAGAAAACTAATCATAACCAAACGATGACCCACTGGCCTTTTGTTAGGTCCGGTAAAAGGTCCAGGAGCCTTATTTTGCACACAGTTAAACACTGACATAAAATCCAAGGGCTAAAAACTCACAGTTGGGTTGAATTCCTCTAACGACACTGTTGTGGAAAACCACTTGGATTGTGTTATTGAGTGTATGATTATAAATTCATCACACACTTACTCCCTGATCCTGGATGAATGTCACCCACTTGGTGGTGGAGACACATTAGACTTGCATCACATTAGACTTGCATCCCTCTCTCTCTCCCCCCCTCTCTCTCTCTCTCCCCCTCTCTCTCTCTCTCCCCCCCTCTCTCTCTCTCTCCCCCTCTCTCTCTCTCTCCCCCTCTCTCTCTCTCTCCCCCTCTCTCTCTCCCTCCCCCTCTGTCTCTCTCTCACACGTCTGTTCCAGTGGACACACTGTTCCCTCTCTCATTTCACTTCCCCTGTCAGTTTATACTGGAACCAGTGCCATGCATAACTATGCCCTGCTCACTATGCCACAAACATTCCTCACAAATGACTGTAATGACTGATGGGATTAGAGAAAACCAACCTGGATCCAAATCTGTCTTTTCTGAGTCTGCCTTCAGTTACCACTGAACACGGGTTCAGACGGGGTCAGCAGGTGCAGACGCCCAAAAATCACTACTTTAATCAGAGACACACAGGTAAAGGAGTGGCGTCGTTGTCACCTGCGAGTCGTAGTGGCCGGCGTTGTGCAGCAGCGTGAGGCAGATGTGGTGAAGTCCCTGGATTTCACAGGAGTTGTTGTTGAAACACTGCAGCGTCCCACAGCCCACGTCCCCTGAACTCACCAGACAGCTCTGGATCTCCACTGAGAGAGAGAGAGAGAGAGGGGACGGTGAAGAGCACGACCTGGTCACGGTGAGGTCAAAGTTCAACAGTCTGAACTGTGTTGAGTCATTTGAGCTGTTACAGCTTCCTCTTTGTCCTGAATGTTGGAACAGCGGGATTAGGAACGAGCCAATCAGAGGAACGGTACGAGGTGTTGATGGTTCGACCGTCCACTGAGAGAGGAGGACGAGGATGAACACGGCTGTTTGGTTCAAACCCGACAAAGACGTGAACGGGGTCCTGACTCCGGTTCTTGCTCCAGTTTCACCGTCGGTAACAGATTCGCTAACACTCTGAAAGCTCCGAGCTCTGCAGCAGTTCATATGAGGAACACGCTGTGACTCCAGCAGCTGAGCTTATCAAGATAAATGAGGCTAAAGTTTCTGTGGATTTTTGGCTAACATTTAGCTATTTTGTTGCAGCTTGACTTATTTTTGGCTAACATTTAGCTCAGTCAACATCTAATGTTGAATTAAAAGCCCTCGACCGTGAGAAAGTTGACCTCCTTTTCACAGACATTTACCCAGGATTCTGTCCACAACCCATTATTATTCCTGACCTTTTTGAACCTGCAGGGGCCACATGTGACTGATAACTTTTACAATGTAGTTCATTTAAAGTTAATTTTTAACCGGCAGCTGGGTTTGTTATTGTGAGACTGTGTTAGACAGTCTGTGAGTCTGCAGCAGCAGCAGCAGCAGCAGCAGCAGCAGCAGCAGCAGCTCGGGGCCCGGAGATGCCGTCATGCCTCTCTCTGCTGGAGGTACGGAGAGAATGTGCTTAGACAGGATCGAGCCTCCGGAGCGGAGCGTTGAGTTACAGGCGACACCAACAGAACCACATGGGCGCGCTCTGGTGCTGGACGACGCACGAGCGACCCGGGAGAGCAGCCTATAGGCTCGGACTAACGAGCACAGAATGTAAACTATCTGCAGGATCATTATTTTCAAGTATGCGGTGAGAGATCCACAGAGGTCACGGAGGTGCCGTGAGGTCACGCTCGCGTTACTGCACACTCTGACATGTGTTAGTGCTGGGGAATAGTTGGAGAAAAAAAAAAAGACAGAATTAAGAAATAATAAATATTCATGCCAAATTCCACAACAATGCAGAATGGAAAACTTTATTTATCCCAGGATGAAGTGATTGTGTTTCTTTGGCTTCATGAAGAAATTAAAATAACATGCAGAGAATCACAAGCAGCAGCAGCAAAAAAAAAAGAAAAAGAAAGAAAAAAAATTAGTAAACTCAGGAGAAGAAGAAGAAAAAAGAGAAAAGAAGAAGATTAAGTCTGGATGTTTCGAGTTAATAAAACAGAATAAAGACAATGACTGAAGTTTTTTTTTTTTTTTACTCCTGTGTTTGTGGCTGCTGCACCGTCTCCCATGTGACTGTTTTAAATCAGGGTGTCAAAGTTAAATTACCCCGGGAGTCGTGTTTGTTTACAGAGGACATCACGGGGTCAAGGAGCCATGAATGCAAGTCGACGCAAGTCAATTAACAGGAAATGAAAAAATAAATAAATAAATAAACAGAGAGTCATCGCTGCAGTCTTCTCTCTGACCAGATGAATATATTAGGGAAGTCCCATATGAACTTTTTAGTGATATTCGATAATGTCCAAACACTTAATTTTCTATTTCGACGCAAGTCAATTAACAGGAAATGAAGAAAATAAAAAATAAACAGAGAAAATGAAGACGTTCGGTCATTGCTGCAGTCTTCTCTCTGACCAGAAGAATATATTCGAATATGAACTTTTAGCCGATATTCGATAATGTCCAAACGATTTCAACCGATACCGATATAGTCCTGGTAATATTTATTGATTTATCAGTTCAAACCAGATTAAATTAATGACCTGCAATGCTGCCATCTAGTGACTTTCACGCAGAAAAAATGACAATTCTTACAGATATTAAATAATTATGCTAATATCGGGCCGATAATATCGGTGATGTCACTTAAAAACTCCACAGAGAACTGAGAACAAAACTCCCTTCAGCATTTTTTAAATGTGGCTCTGCATCTTAAACACCTCGTCCAATCGTCACACAGAACACCCTGCTGCCACACCCGCTCACTACTCTCTGTGAAGGCTAGCTAATGTGGAAGGGATGCATTTCGCCACCATCATCGATCCAGAAGCTGAGCTTCAACAGGGTTTAATACCCTTGGCTGCTCATGTAGTATGAAAAGAAAAGCTGATTCTGAACGATCTTATCTTTCCACTCCAGTAAATAAAACGTTAAAATAATCGTACATATTGGACCATTTATTTTGGAGGAGCTCCCCCTGCTGTCTTAGAATAATTAACACTGATTTAACATTCATTTTTAGCACATCTCTTCATCAAGTGGTTTCGCCATAGCAATAGTCAGTAATTAAACTTTTTTTTTTTTGACAGGAATCCTACCATTCCAGTCTCATTTTATGGTTTATTGGTATTTAATTAAATCCCAGCATAATCTATCACTCAGTAAAAGAGTATTTTGTCAGTGAACAACACGTGTTGACTACACATGTACCAGCTCCACTGAATGACTCTGGTGACTCTGACACTGGCGCAGGACTAACGCTACGTGCACATGTACGCGTGTGCAGTACGGTAGATGCGTGCGGCTCACCTGTGCTCTGCAGGGTCAGTCTCCTCTTGGCCAGACTCAATTGCTTCTCCTGGACGTCATGCAGATCCACACTCAGCACCTGTTGAAGAGCCAGGAGCAGCATAAGCAGAGGAGCCCCAGAGGACACTGTGACCCGCATGTCTGCGTCACACGGAGGGGAGACAGTAAAGAAACGTGTTTTTGTTTAATATTATTATTATTTTCTTTTTTTTTTTATTTAAAAAAACGGCAGGATCTGCGGCGGCAGCAGCAAAAGCAGCAGCGCAGCCTCTCACTGAGGGAGTTCCCACCACACACACAGCTTGACCGCGGGCACGCTATATATAAGGCTGAAGCGGCTGCGCGTGCACGAAGCGGCGGAGAGAAGAGGGTGTGAGTCTCGACCAATCAGAGCGGGACGTTGTGGACGCGCAGCAGACGGAGCCTGAAAAACTCTTTTCTCGATTTTTCCCCCTTCAATGTACACGAAAAATATTTTTAAAACATATTTGGAAATGATTTCTTCTTGTTTTTTAAACTTTTGCGCTAACACAAAACACTTTTAAAAAACTTACTATGTTTTAAGTCTTGTTTATTTTTGGTTCATCAGTGACTTTTTAGTCGTTGCTAGCTACTTACTAGCCTTTGGCTATTACCGATACATAGCTATAAATATCGTGTGTTTATTTTTCTTATTTCTTTCCTTATTTCCGTGCTTTGCTTAACTTGTCCTCTTGGCGAATTTAAATTTATTTTTTTTAGACATATTATTCACTTTTTCTATCTTCGGGGTTTTCTTTTTAACTAGATATAGCTACAGTTTTATTCAACATTTTGCTATTTTTGCAATAACAGTAATCTTCAGTGCAAGGAACTTTTATCAGGAGGAATTTTGGGGCAATTTATTTATGAATTAGTGGCTAATCTTTAGATAGATCTATAATGTTTTGTGGATCTTTGCATAGCAGCATTAGCCTTAGTCAGCAGTGGTACTACTGCACTGTTTTTCTGCGTGAGCTTTCCTTTTTTCTTTTCCCTCTAGTTTTTCCTCTACTAATTGATTGAATGGCTTAAACATTACTATTACCTCCAAAGGGTTCCAAAATCATCATTAAAGCCTTCATCTGAGGACGTTAACGGTCGTGATGCTGAGGGCAACGAAACCAAACTCCTCATTCACAAACTGCACATTTGTGAAAGCGTTCCCGCAGCCTTTCTGTCTTTCCCGTTCTTCCACAGTCTGTGGGGGTACGAGGAGGTCAACCACTCAAGACATCCGCACTCAATTAACCTGCCAGCCAGCCTTCTCCACTGTGTGTGTGTGTGTTTGAGGGTTAGCAGCTGCTTCCTTGGCAGAGGGACGTGCAGTGAGGAGCGTATGAGAAGCAGCAGACTGAGAAAGAGAAAAGGAGCCTGAATGTGAAGAGGTTCAGTTCGTGTATTTGAAGAATTTGCAAAAGAATTCACGTATTCTGGCCACAGTTTTAAACTCTTTCTCAGGAAGAGGTGAAGAAGATCCACAGAATTTAAAGTATCGCTACTTTTAAAATGACTTGGACGTTTGGGGAGGTGATGCTTCAGAGTGAGAAACCCTGCACTGACAGGACAAAAACTGCTAATATTATATTATACTGTTGACGAGCGTGATGTTAATATTTTCTCTAACTGCTGCGGTCAGTTGTGAGCTTTGGTTTTCTCCTCTGGGACGTCTTTCAGCCTCATGTTGTTGCCGTAGTATGTTTTGAATCATAACAGCCGTGACCTTTGGCCCCTTACATCCACAGAGGGACAGGTCAGGGTCATTTGACACGGTGACATAGTCACCATCATGTGAGCTTCCCTGCCTCCTCAAGTTCATCTGCCCTGCATCCCAGAGGCCTTCAGGAGAAGCTCTTCACGGGTGTGTGTGGTCGGTGCAGAAGACAACGTGTGTGTTAGTGAGTGTGAGTGTGTGTGTGTGTCAGCACGGGGCCCAGACGGGGGCTAATGTTTCAAAGTTTGGTTAAGGACTTTTTGAGGATTGCGGTGTTTTTGTCTCATCTCGCTTCAAAACAACATCCCACAACTTCCCTCACACGACCTCTGATGACCACCCACACAACGACCTCTCGACCCGACACCGAACACACACAGAAATACTCAAACACACTCACCGACTGACTCACTAACTCACAGGCCCAAAATGGCACAGCCCTGTGCAAACAGCACACAGTCAGGACCCTCTTGAACTTTTGTCTCTGACATGATGTTGTTGTAAACAACATTCTATATATCTGCGTGTGTGTGTGTGTGTGTGTGTGAGCTCATAGATCAACCTCATAAGTGTCGTCTTTGCGGTAACTGACCTGTGGAGGAAGCTTTTCCATAAACCTTAAAGCCAAGTCAAGAAAACAAATGGGAGGTGGATGAAAAGAAATGTTAAGTTAACTGATAAGAATGACATTTAATGTTGCATAAAAAGCTCTTTGCTTAGTGTTTGTTTAGTGTTAGTGATAACTGCAAGAAAGCTAACGGTTAGCCCAGAGCAAAACAGTAACAAAACTCTGGCCTAAAATGAAAGAAATATGTATATTTAATTCCTTTCTGTACCATAAAGTAAATGTAAATGTGAAAATACTTTTGTGATGCAGAAATATGAGGCTAGATCAAAGAAAAAAAGTGTCATTCCTCGTAGTTGAAATGTATTTGTTTCCTGCAAACAATTTATTCCCAAAACCAAAATTGTTGGTGAAACATTCGAAGCCAGTCTGCTGTCGTCTGTCGTTCTCCTCCACTGTGAACATATAGAGCAGCTCTCTGCCAAAACAACACTGAAATCAATATAGTTGCACAACGTCTGGTGTTGTACACAAACACTTTGTAGTGACTGAAGTTGAAGTCTAGGTAAACTGTGCCACGGTTAGAGTAAAGACCAGAACCTCAGAGGTTTTTGTCACGTTAAAAAATAATATATTCCCTGCAGAAGTCAAACACATTCTTAAATGTTTCATATAAAAAAATGTAAAACAACAATAATTTAGTAATGTAACAAACTAGTATAATAAAGAGGCTCTTTCTTTATTATGTTATTTGTCACAGAAACAAAAGAAAGGCCACATTTTGTAATGTGTTTGAATTTATTACATAACCAAATTAAAGAAAAAATACAAATGTCAGCACATGCAGTAAAACGTTTCCTTCCTTCAAGAAAAAAAACGAATCCAAAAAGGTAAAATATACAAGTTCAAGGAACGAGAACAATTACCCCACCTAGTGGTGCCACTTTGTTACAAGGCAACTAGAAACGCAATTTCTGACAGCAGACACAAAATGAGAATAAATGAGACCAAAGCGACTTCAGAGCAGAATTGTGACGTAATCAAAAGTAAAAGATTCACAATCATGACTACATACATGCACACAAATAAAACAGCCTTTTAAAATGTAAAATAATTGACTTCTAGAAAGATGGCAACACTTTTTTTGAGCAGAAATTCAATTTGAGGCTGAGTTGATGCAGCTGTAAACATGAAAAACATTTTTATATACGCAGAATCCCTGAGGGAAATTTCTGAATTTAACAACATTCAAAACTACAAAATAAAGTTTACGTCAGAATCAGTAAAAAGTACAGTGACCAAAATGTTTAAAATTATACGTAGGCTTGAGCCATGCAGTGCAACTCCTCCAGCTGGATCTTCATGCAGCAAAGAGGAGACAAAACAACTTTGGATGCTGCTTCTCAATGCATAACCACTTCTCTCAATCTGAAATCAACAAGAAAACTGTAGGACCTGCACTCTGCTGCTGCTGCCAGACTGTCAGAGGGCAGACGCAGCCCCACACACTGCAGCAGGAGAGCAGATCCAGGGTACTGTCTTTTTAAACTGCTTCACTGAAGACCTCAGGGGGTTTTGGCTCCAGAGATGGACACGGGCTCCTGTGGTTCAGTCTTTTCACAAGGTACAGAGTTAGAACCCGAGGAGTTCTCCTCCTTCCGGTCACCCGACAGGAAATCATGGATGGCAGTTTCTATATGCGGCCTGAAAGTGTGGTTCATTTTGGGATCCACGACCTGTGTGATGATCCTGTCAACACCGGACTCCAACATACCAGACCTGAGAGACCACAGGGGAGGAAGTTCTACTCACTGCTGGGCATGTTTATATTTTCTAAATACAAAAAAACACTGAGGCTTGACTTACTGAACGACAGTTTGTCTCAGGACGTTTCTCATCTGGTTCTTGTTGATAGATGCGTTCCAGTCCTGTGTACTCAGGTGCGATGTCACAAAGTTGTCGACTTTCTGCCGAAGGTTCTGATAGGCTGGCTGAAAATATGACAATGTCAGGCGGTGCGTTTGGAGTCGAATAACTGACTAATACCGTTACATTTCTTACTGGTAAACATTTAACATTTAAGGTAGATTTATAACATTAAAGTCTAAAATCGTGCATTAAATTTGACGATGAAAACGTAGATAAACAAAACATTTACAATAGCCTGCGTTGAGGCTTAAGTCAGTGGGCTACCTTTGTGTCAACATCAGCCAAACAGTCCCTGCGAAACTCGTCAAACAGCCCCCGGTTCTTTAGGTGCTCCACGATCATGGCGATGAGCTGCGGGTCTCCCGGAGGAAGGTTGGACGGAGGCACACTAACGTTACCAGCACTTTCCGCCATATCAAAACATTTACGACTTCCCTGGCTGTCAACTACAACAGAAGTTAGCTTAGCTGTAGCGAGTACAAGGTGTTGTGCTTGTAGCAGATGTGCTCGTTTTCAACGTATTCTCGAAAAACAATGGGCGGTGTTAGTATTCGTTGTGCCCATCTGTATTACATCCCACACCCTGGATACTGTTAAGTCGGCACGTATTTTACCGTAAATCAAGCGCTTTCCAAATGACGCTCATGCGCAGCACGAATCTTACCTCGGAAGTGCTTCTTTCAAGCGTCGTCGCGGACTCAAGGTAAAACCTTAGCATGGAGCGAAATGAAAAATAAATTACAAATGAAACATGGCTTTTCAGTGAAACCTACAATTCCATTTTACTAGGCCATTTTAGAGGAAATCATTTTAATTGATACAATAAATTGCGTTTCTGCATGTAGTCTATTTCTGCAGCTTGTTTGACTAACTAGCTGCTGTGGCTAACTCCATTTAGCGGTTGTGCTAAAACCACATTAGGACAGGCGTTAACGTGTTATTTAAAAATAAATAATAATAAACAGCAGTGTATTGGGTTGAGACCTTAATTTGATTATTTCTCACCCTAATAACAATGCACCATATGATACACCCAAATTTGAATGACTTAAATTGCCTTATAGAATTTCAGATATTCACCACT